CTCACTCACTCACTCACTCACTCACTCACTCACTCACTCACTCACTCACTCACTCACTCACTCACTCACTCACTCACTCACTCACACACACACTCACACACTCACTCACACACTCACACACTCACACACACACACAAATGATCTCCCAGGGACAACAAAACAAAAACATGCTCACCATACAGCCAACCCCCCAGAGCCCTGTCCAACAATAGCTCACATAACTGCTGGAAACTACAACCCTTTTACTTCTAATAAATCGGAGCACATTCTCCACCAGCAAAACACACACAGTCCCAGTGTCGCCTTGTCACACCGAGGGATCTTTCGCAACTGCTCATGGCCTGAATACCCCTGAGTGCTTTTGTTTTCATTTCATTTCTACATAAAGGCAGATTTAGAAGCGAGTGTAAACAGAGGGGTGAACGAGTGCCGTGTCTCTGACATTTCAGTGTAACTGAATTCTTACACTGAACTCTTCCTGATCCTGAACCCCGTAGGATATCTGCTCTGTCCCATACTCAACTCTGTCCAGTATTGACCCCTGCCCGATGCTGAGCTCTGCATGCTGCTTAGCCCTGTCCGATACAGAACTACGTCTGATTCTGAACCCTGTTCAATACTGAACTCGGCCTGCTAAATTTTTTTTACAGCTTTAGGGCATGCATTTGACTCACACCTATTGACACACTTACCCTTAAACCGTAAAACACTGTTTCACTGTGTCACACCTACATCTCTGTTCTAGCTTGTACTTTTCCAAGCCATTTGGGAAGTGTGTATTGGCCCTCGTCGTGCTACACGATCTCCTCAGAATGAATCACTTGTGCTCAGGCATTCCTTAATTATAAGTCACTTTGGATAAAAGTATTTGCTAAATGAATAAATCACTATCAGTTTAATTACACTTTAACAAACACTACATCTGTAGTTCAAAGCAAACATTCTGCAGTCATGTAACCAAAAACAAAATGTGCCAAACCTTATATCTGCACTGTACTGTATATCATTTCACTTTGTTATTGAAACAATCTGGCACCGTATGCATTATATATAAGGTTTGGAGTAATAACATGCAATCAATACTCAATCCTTTCTCCTTCAGTATATCTATTCCTTCAGTGTCACACAAGCTTGAAATGATTTACTGAATAAGACTGGGAGCAGGAGGGAGATCATAAATACTCTCAGAACCATGATAAGAAAAAGCTCAGTGATAAAAGATCCACTTCTATAGACACATACAACACGTCAGCTACAACAACTCATTAGCAGCAATTAATCAGCAAATAACTTCAAACAGGATTCAGTGATCTAAACTCAAGATTGATCCTTAACTACACTAAACTAAACTAAACTAAACTAAACTAAAGTTTAAAACCTTGAACCTTATGATTACAAGTTCTACACTCAAAAATCAAGATTGTAAATTCAAGATTCAAGTGTCTAATCTAATCTCAAGAATCAAGATTCTAAACTGAAGAGTCATGATTCTACACTCAGTATTTAAAATTCTAGACTCAGGATTTTAAACTCAAGATTCAAGCGTCTAAACTCGGTATTGATTACTCTAAATCCAAAATCAGGATTCTAAACTCAAGATAACAGGTTTTAAACTCAAGTTTGTAAATTTAAGATTCAAGTGTCTATTCACAATTCCAAATTCAAGGTTCTATAAAGATCTAAAGAATCTAAAGATTCTACATTCAGTATTTAAAATCGAAGATTCTAAACTCAAGATTCATGTTTTAAATTTAGGATTGTAAATTCAATATTCAAGTGTCTAAACTCAGTATTGATTATTCTAAACCCAAAATCAAGATTACTAAATCTAAATATAAACTCAAGATTACAGGTTTTGAACTCAAGTTTGTAAATTCAAGATTCAAGTGTCTAAACACAGTATTCACAATTCCAAATTCAAGGTTCTATACTCAAGATTCAAGATTCTAAACTGAAGAGTAAAGATTCTACACTCAGTACTTAAAATTGAAGATTCTAAACTCAAGAATAATGTTTTAAACTCAGGATTGTAAATTCAATATTCAAGTGTCTAAACCCGGTATTCATTCAGCGTTCTAAATTCTAAATTTAAGGTTCTACACTCAAGATTCAAGATTCTAAACTCAAGATTCAAGGTTCAAAACTCAAGATTGTTAATTCAAGATTCAATATCATAAACTCAAGATCAAGTGTCTAAACTCAGTATTGATGATTCTAAATCCAAAATCAGTATTCAGGTTTTGAACTCAAGTTTGTACCAATATTGATTATTCTAAACCCAAAATCAAGATTACTAAATCTAAATCTAAACTCAAGATTACAGGTTTTGAACTCAAGTTTGTAAATTCAAGATTCAAGTGTCTAAACACAGTATTCACAATTCCAAATTCAAGGTTCTATACTCAAGATTCAAGATTCTAAACTGAAGAGTAAAGATTCTACACTCAGTACTTAAAATTGAAGATTCTAAACTCAAGATTAATGTTTTAAACTCAGGATTGTAAATTCAATATCCAAGTGTCTAAACCCGGTATTCATTCAGCGTTCTAAATTCTAAATTATGGTTCACACTCAAGATTTAAGATTCTAAACTCAAGATTCAAGGTTTAAATCTCAAGATTGTAAATTCAAGATTCAAGTCTCTAAACTCAGTATTCCAAATCGAAGGTTTTACACTCAAGATTTGAGGTTTTAAACTGAAGAATCAAGATTTTAAACTCAAGATGAGGGTTTTAACTTATAAGTTCAAGATTGTAAGTTCAAGGTTCAAGTGTCTAAACTCAGTATTGATTATTCTAAACCCAAAATCAAGATTACTAAATCTAAATCTAAACTCAAGATTACAGGTTTTGAACTCAAGTTTGTAAATTCAAGATTCAAGTCTCTAAACTCAGTATTCCAAATCGAAGGTTCTACACTCAAGATCTGAGGTTTTAAACTGAAGAATCAAGATTTTAAACTCAAGATGAGGGTTTTAACTTATAAGTTCAAGATTGTAAGTTCAAGATTCAAGTGTCTAAACTCAGTATTTACAATTCAAGGTTCTAAATTCTAAATGGCAGGTTCTACACTCAAGATTCAAGATTCTAAACTCATGATTCTACTGTAGATTTCCTGCTCAGTAATTAAGATTGCAAATTCAAGGTTCGAGATTCTGTACTCAGTATTTAAGATGTCATGGATCTAAAGTGAAGATTTAAGGTCCTGTCCTAATGATTTGTGGTCGTCTCTATGGCCATCTGTCAGAGAGGGGTTCCCGCACACTCGAGTCTCTCTGTTGTGGACCAGACGGCTTCCTCTCCTCAACAGTAGATTGGGTGTCACTTCAGTTACGTCTGTCCTCACTTCCCCCTTTTTCAAGCCTCTCACTTACTATTCAGGTCTTTCTCCTCTCATTCATAGACCCTTTCATCCCATCTATCCATCCATCCATCCCGAACAGCAGCCTTTTTTCATTCGTTGCTATGACTCCCTAACCTCTGTCCTCTCTGACTCCGCCCCCCTCATCCGATTTCCCCACTATAAGTCCCTCTTTTTCTTTCTCTCGTCTCTCTGTATTGTTGATTTATAGTGGTGGTCTGGTACGTGTGTTTGGTCTCGGTGACTTTTATAACGGCCCGTCACACATTCCTGTTTTTAACTCTGTGTTCCTCTTTAACTTCTCTTCTCTATCCTCACAAAGAGTCTTTGCTTGTACAGTAATGCCCATGACCCCTGCGGTCTCCCTCCTCCTCTCTTCATTCATTCTACATCTACTTTGTCTTCTTATGGCTCAGGTCATTTACTGCCTCTCAAAAACGCCTTTATTCTTGCTTATCTGCAGTTCTGAGCTTTCTTAGAATCACTAACCATTCAAGGCTGTGCCAGTCTAAAAGGAATCCGTGCACATTTTTCACATTTTCTACGCTGATCGTGAAGGGAAATCTGCAGAATGAATTAAAAAATGGCATAACTTGTTGAGCAGAGCTGAAAATACTCATCCAACATATTTAAAATGATTTATTTTTTGTAATATGGAATAAAAATGTAAATAGTTAATATTTATAAACAACATTTTTCTCAACTTCCAAGCCATCTTGGATCATTGTTTTTTTCTTTGTATGCAAACCACAAGACTGCTTTTGTAACAAAAACAAGAAGAAGAAGAAGAAGAAAAAAAGGTATTATTGGGACAGACTTTGTGTCTGAAGCACAGCTACACTACCTTTTAAATGTTTGGGGTTTCCTCTTTGCGAAGAAATTAATACTTTTATTCAGAAAGGATGCATTAAATTGATCAAAAGTGACAGTAAAGACATTTTTAATGATACAAAATATTTCTATTTAAAATAAGTCATATTCAAATAATCCTAAAAAAAAGAAATCCCGGTTTCCACACAAATATTGTGCAGCACAACTGTTTTCAACATTGATAATAATCAGAAATGTTTCTTGAGCAGCAAATCAGCATATTATACTGATTTCTGAAGATCATGTGACACTGAAGACTGGAGTAATGATGCTGAAAATACAGCTGCGCATCACAGAATAAAGTACAGTTTAACAGATATTCACATAGAAAACAGCTATTTTAAATTGTAAAAATATTTTACGATATTTACTGTATTTTTGATTAAACCGCCTCGGTGAGCAGAAGAGACTTCTTTCAAACACATTAAAAAATCTTACCAACCCCAAACTTTTCAACTGTATACAGTACGATGCCTTAAAAGGTTTTCTAAATACGCAGCACACTATCTTTTGGAACAGGCTCATATGTTTAATAAACAGATAAAAACCAAACTGCAAACTAACGCATGCAGCTCATCATGAAAAACTAAGTGAAAAGAGGTCAATGGAAAATATCGTGTAAGCAGATGTCCAGTACACTTGGTTATTAGACAATAAACTCCAAATGCTGCTCCACAATGGCAGAGAGGTAAGTAACAGGGTAATATTCCACCACACCTCTGTTATTGCTTCTTTTTTCCCTTTACACCCCTTCAATTTCCGTTTCTAACCTTCTGTGAAAGGCTCCCAGTCATACACGCGTCCCATAAACTCTTGATTGTTGAACGCTGCACACTGTTCAGCCCTGGAGCTTACTGGAGCACCTGGACATGCCTACAGGGAGAGAGAGAGAGAAACTTAAGTTATGGCATCTCACTTTGACAAGCATGGCAATGTGTGCGCGTGTGTGTGTGTGTGTGTCTGTGTGTGTGTGTGTGTGTGTGTCTGCGTGTGTGTGTGTGTGTGTGTGCATGCTTTTGGTCAACCTGTGACAGACAGTGATACATTAGTTACCATATGGAAATAATGGTGAACCTGGAGACACTCAGATAAATCTCCAGAGAGAGAGACAGACAGAGGCCAATGTTTACAGAGTCAGAGCAAGACAAGAGCCCTGAAGAAGATGACTCAAAGTGACACACATTTTAAGGAATGAAAAACTGACAAACCACTAGGGTTGGGAATCCAAAAAAAAAACCTTTGTTATTCAGAACCAGTTCCATTTTTAAAATAAAAAAGGAAAGTTTGTCAGGACAAAAATTACAAACTTGAAAGAATTAATACTGTAGATTTCCATTCTTTCTTCTAAATTATTTCCAGAACCTTTAACTCTATAAAGCTACTGTATCATTTGATATACACATTTCTAAGGCCTCTAAATGAACAAAACTTTGCTGTTAAACCTGTTTGACACACAATCTACTCCATGCCTTCTGTCGTCTGATTGATGACTTTTTTTTATCAAGTAAAATATCTTTTAGTCTAATTGTACAAACGTCCACCTTTACTGACTCTCATAAAGTAAATGTCAGAATAACTGCAGTAATATCTCCAGATGAACACTTACTGGACTGAAGCAGCTCAGCTTTACTTGATTCTCCATCAATCATGTTTTAGAGTCTCAAATCTGATCCTCAGGATCTTTTGAGGAGCGTTTGTTTCCAGAAGCTTTACTTTCACTGTTCCTCAGCGGAGGAATGATCTTCACAAGCCTCCAGAACATCTCACATCTTCTGAGGAGCCTTTATTTCTTCAGCTCTCAATCACTGCATTATATGTTTGGAGCATTTCAATCTCATCTTACTGAGACATGTTACTGCAGATATAGAGACGACTGATATTTATATTATTTTTAAATGTAAGTATCTGCTGTACTGTTATAAAGATTTCATTGATTTACATTACAAGCAGCAGAAATTCATCTTACTTCTTGGCCACATAAATATCAGCATCTGCAGCAAATTGCATATTTTTGCTCAGTTTGGGCCTCCGGGTTTTTTTCCTCCACATTCTCACTGTGTCAGACTATATGAGCCATAAAAGCTTGATGCATCAAATATAATACAAAACAAAAACACATGCATTTTTTTTTCTCTCTACAGGTTCAATAAACTGTCTTTGAAATTTCAATTTCAGACTATTATTTAACATGACAGGCTTTTAAGGGGTTAATGAACCAGAATTGTTAAGTGGAAATGTTACCAGAATCGATAAATTCCTTGCAATCCCCAAACCACAGACAGAACGGGACATCAGGATAGAAACATATGGCATCATAAATCAGACCTATATCAGTTTCTATAGAGCGCTAGAGCACAGATGCTCGTCTCAAGATCTTCCACGTGTTCGTTCTCGATGCCAGTGACATCAGGAAACACTGCTCATTTTCTCTTGCTTTTTTCCTCTTCCTGTCTTGAACACGATAGGAAGCACCCACAGAGGGAGAGATGTTACAGGACACTAAAGACAGCTGCAGACAGTAATGGGGGTGAAATTAAAGAGTCACAGGGTCATCGAGGTGTCATTTCACCTCACAGACCACCGCACACACCGCCATTAATGACCAAACACTGTCCCATTAATGCACAGCAAACACTGCGGCTCTCCACAAACCAGCCCTAAATATTTACAGCACGTCTGAGTGTGTTTGCTCAGGAAAACTTCTGCTCTGATTATTCTAGAGGTTTAGTGCTCATACTCGTGTTCGTTGATTTACTTGAATTAATTTGTGGTTTGGGTGCTTACGGCAAAAGTTATGATGTTAAGATACTTACATATATACATACGTTTAATTAGGCTACATCAATGCTGACGAATATTTATAAGCAAGCTGAGTTTTGAAGTGTATGAAATCTCCTGAATGGTTTAAAAACAACTGAATTTATGATTGTTAAGAACAAAGATATAAAGAGTAGAATAGAGTATAATAATTAAAACTAAAACCATAAAAAAGCATCTGTGTTACTTCAAACAAAATAAATGTTATCTAAAATAATCTAAAATATTTTAAAAATGTATTTTTTTCGCTAGTTTCCAAAGCAACATTTATTATTTTCATTTTGGTTTAACTTGATGTACGAACTACTGAACTAAAACTAAAACTGAAATAAAAATAATAAAAACTACTTGCTAAAAATAAACTAATAAAAATGACAAAAACACACAAAACTAAAATGAACTAAAACCAAAATTTAAGTAAAATTAAAATAAAAACAAATTCAAAATCGTAATTTAACAGTGAAGATATTTAGCAAAATGTTCATGCTGTTCAAGAAAGCCTACAAAAAAGTTCACTTAAGTGAAGTTAAGTAAAGTTCAAGTATGTGTAGTATACTAATATCAATGTAGAGTATACTGTACTTGTACTGTAAGTGTACTACTATTTCAGTACTTGGGACTAAATCAACTTTTTAATTAATAAAATCATACTTTTAAGTGCATTTAAATGTAAGAGCAGTAAACTTTAAGTACACAACTTGTTTTTCTTTAGCAACTATCCTACAAGTGAACTTAACCGTTGCTTCCGGCTAATCCATAATCTATAATAACGCTTCCTCCAGTGAAAAAGTCCATCTCCTGTTGTCTCTCACATCAAAATTCACCAAAAATCCACATATCTGTTTAGAGCTGCTTTGGACTGTGCAGATTTCTCTCCTGATTCCGACCAGACCACTGTTTCACTGGAGGAAGCTTTATTATGGACCAGAAGCAACGGTTTGAAGTTAAAATTTGAGTGAACTATTCCTTTAAAGAATTATACATTAAAAAAAACTAAGCAGACAAAAACGAAAACAGTCAAAAGGATTTGTGAGATCAACCCAAAGGAGGATTTTACTAGCTAGGAGAGCAGAAGGACAACACAGAGCTGATATATAGTTGAAACGTACCAGTCAAAGAGTTCAGAAGAGCTCCTGTAATGAAGCAGAGCATCTTACTAGAACTCAAGCTGAAAGACAGAGAGCTAGTGCTTTACTGCCTTTCCTTAGGCCACATTCACTTCCTCGTTAATAGGGCCACTGTCAAAGAGGGACACACACACACACACACACACGCACACGTTTGTTTTGCTATCTCAGTGAGGACATTGCATAGACTTCCATTGATTTTCAGGTTAATGATATTTTCTATCAGCTAACCCAAACCCTACCCCTAAGCTTACTCATCACAGAAACATCTGCAGAATACTAGATTTACATCAAAAACATTTTCTGGCTGATTTATAAGCCTTTTTAACTAGTGAGGACCAGTCAAATGTCCTCACTACTGGGTTGTCATGATCTTTTTACTATATAAGTGAGGACATTAAACCAGTACACACACAGAAACACCCACACACACACACACACACACACACACACACAGAAACACACACACACA